AGTCGTATGGTAGAGAGCACCAGCCAATAAATCAAGCGTAGAATTAATCTGAAAAACTCCAATTATGCCTGGGCCTTGTCCCACTTGAGTGGCTTGACAACCTCCCAAGTGAAGTCTGCATCATCCCGGCCGAAATGCCCATAGGCAGCAGTCTTCAAAAACCTGCCATTGCCCCCTCTCTTTAGATCAAGATTGATAGCAATCATTCCAGGTCTGAAGTCAAAGTTCTCCTTCACAATCTTCAGAATTTCCTTATCTGGGATCTTTCCAGTACCGTAGGTGTCCACAAATACAGATAAAGGCTCAGGTACGCCAATGGCATAGGAAACCTGCACAATTGACCTCCTAGCAAGTCCATTAGCAACAATGCTCTTTGCAGCCTGCCTGACAATGTAAGCACCGCTTCTATCCACCTTGGTAGGGTCCTTCCCAGAGAAAGCACCACCACCATGAGCACCCCATCCTCCATAAGTATCAATAATGATCTTGCGACCAGTGAGACCAGCATCACCATGAGGACCTCCAATGACAAAACGGCCAGATGGGTTAAGGTGGAAAATGGTCTTTTCGTCAAGGTACTTCTCAGGAATAACAGGCTTGATGACATGCTCCTTCAAATCAGCAGCAATCTCATCATTAGTCACAGTCTCATCATGCTGAGTGGAGATTAGCACAGTGTGCACACGAATAGGCACCATGGCACCCTTATCGTTGTAATACTCAACGGTGACTTGAGTCTTGCCATCAGGCCTGAGCCAAGGGCAAGTTCCATTTTTGCGCACTTCAGTGAGGCGAGCACCAAGCTTGGTTGCCAAGACATGGCTCAGAGGCATCAATTCAGGAGTCTCGTCAGTGGCGTAGCCAAACATATGGCCCTGATCACCAGCACCAATTTCCTCAGGGCGCTTAGTGAGATGGCCGTGAACACCCTGAGCAATATCTGGGCTCTGTTGCTCGATGTTAACAAGCACTTTGCAGTTGTCAGCATCGAGACCCACATCATTAGATGTGAAACCGATGTCACGGCAGGTGTCACGCACGATCTTCTCGTAGTCAACGTCGGCTTTGGTAGTGATCTCACCAAAGACCATAACCATGTTAGTCTTGGTGCAGGTCTCGCAAGCGACCTTGCTGTCAGGGTCCTGTGCCAAGCAGGCATCGAGGACTGCGTCAGAGATCTGATCACAGAGCTTGTCAGGATGTCCCTCGTTGACAGACTCCGAGGTGAATAGGAAGGTCTCCATTCCTTAAATTCTGCAAAAAAAATTTTACGTACTCTTAATTTAACTAAAAAAAATCTGCTAAAAGATACAAGTAAAAAGAAATGACTAATTCACAACACAAAATAGAAGACTTCAAGATCTGCAACTCTAAAGCATCAATTTCCCAGGAATGCTTACAGCATAGAAACATTTGTGTTAACAGCAAGAGCTCAATGAAAAATATAAATTAGGAAATGAAACTCATACACAAACTAATATCAATACAATAACCAGTGAGCCGAAAGAGAAGATAAAAAGAGAGAGTGGGGTACCTCTGCTGTTGTAACCTGGAATGTAGACCTTGAAAATGAGGTGTAAGAGGAGAGAAGAGGGGTATTGTTAGGCGAGTTGTAAATTTGGGTTAGAAAGGGGGTATATATAGGGCAATGTAAGAGAAGAGCAACCAAGTACCAACCGCGTAATTTAGGCCAGGTTCATTGGGATGTAAACGCGTGAGATTTGGATTGCTGGAAAGGAGTCCTTCGGTAGGTGAGATTTGATATTCTGTGGGAAAATTATTTCACCCGATTCGGACTGAGCTAAGACCGACGCGTTTTTAACTTTGGGTTTGGATATGGGTTTCGGTATGTAATTATAGGTCCAATTCCCAAACCATTCCCAATCCAACCCCACCTTATTTATAGTTTGTGTTTATATAATATAAAATATTAAAATTTAGATATTTATATAATATAAAATATTAAAATTTAGATATTTATATAATATTTTATATAAAAATAATTTATTTTAATTTAAATCAACATAAAAATATAATATATTTTTTATTTTATTAAATTTTTTATATAATTATTATTAAAATTTTAAATCATATTATTTTTATTTTTTATTTTTATTTTATATTATGATTATCAAAATTAATTGCTGACTATTTTTCTTTGACCCTTTTTTTAAATGTCAATTATAATATTATTATACCAGTTACCAACCACACTATGGACCATTACGCCCACTTCTAACTCAACCAACTTTGAATTCAAAGCCTTTCACCATTTTTCTTTTCTTTCTATTTTATATATATTCATAATTATTGAAGTAGTAATGAAGGATTTTATATTGTTATTGTAATTCTTTTCGTTATTTTATTTTAGACCCAAAGCTTATCTTTTCTTGAAAATTATTTTTTTATTTTCATACCAGGGCAAAGCCCTTAAAGAAGGAATGGGATGGTGGGGTTAGAATCCACACCCAGATGCCTTCGTTAAAGCCCCTTAATTATTAGTTCAAGACGTAGAAGGCAAAATTATCTTCTTTTTTTTTTTTTTAATTATAATAATAAATTTCTTTTTATTTCTCTAATAATTATATTTTTATTTTAAAATCTAAAATTATTTTTCTTTTGTGATCTCTAGATTTATGGTATTATCATTCACGAAAAAGTTATAACTTCTTCAAAAGATAAAGACATTTGTCAATTTTTTATTTAACTAATTTTTTTTGTATTGTGTTTTTATGGTTCTATGACCATCGTTAAGTAGTAAAACTAAAACACTAAATTATATGAATAAAATGCCAATGACTATCTAATTCTAGAAAGAAGAAATAACATCAGCTAAAACAAATATGATTTGAACATTATCCTTAATTTACTTATGCTTTATCTATCTAAATATTAATCCAAATCATACATATATGAGTAAAAATGTTTTAACTTGATTAAGGTCGATTCTTTTATTTGTAATATATATATATATATATATATTTATTTATAAAGAGAGAGGATCTAAGTGAAATACAAATATTCCTTGGATATATATAGTTATTTTTTCACTTTTTCAAAAAAAAAAAAAATCTTTTTTCACGCTTTGGATATATTAGCAAACATTAACATATATATATAATTATTTGATATATTAACAGTAAAATTTTTTAACTTCATAAATAAAATTAAAATGATTACCCATGTCACATTTTTTTTAAATTAAATTATTTTTTAAATATATATTAATGAACATGTATCATCATCTTAACCCTATTTATAAAATTAAAAAAAGTTCACTATCAATGCATTAGATAATTTTTTATATTTATTCTTAATATTTGTTCTTAATTACACTTTTGATATTGAATGTGTTCCTCATTCTTATAAGACTAGAGATAATCACATAGCTTACGAGTTATTACTTATTATTTGCATTCACTTGTAAGTCTCCTGTTGCATGTTATTAATGCCATAAAAACAAAACGTATATGTGCCATATTGCAATATTGTATGGTTTAGTATATATTATTAATGTATAGTATAATTTATATTATTTATTATACATATTAAATTAATATTTATGTCTTTTTTCTTTTAATTTTTAAATATTTTATAAATAATATATATATATATATATAAAGGGAAACCATGATGAAAAGTTTATTTACTTATGAATGTATGATTTGGCACATTATAATTGCATTGACAAACATAAAAAAAAATTATCTTGAGAACTTTAAATTTTATTATTGGTCTTATATTGTTTTATTACGAGCGTAAAGCATTACTAATTCTATCATAATATAATTAATTACATAAATAAATTTAAAAAAATTATTTCATTTATATCAGTGAAAATTTTAAATTCTATTAAGAGAATTAGTAGATTGATACATATCTTTTTGAGATATATTAAAAATAAAAAAATTAAATATATGATAATCTTCCGATTGATTTATTTATAGAGTTTTTAAATTTCAACGACAGTATATAAAAATCAAACTCATAAATTAATCATCATGAATCACTAATAGTATTATATTCATGTCACAAAATTATAGATGCTAATGGAACATGATGATCGCACAATATTATTGTATATTCTCCGAGTTTTATCAAACATTATTTATTCCATTTTTCAATTGCCATTAATTTATCAAACATTTGTTGACTTTATTTTATATAAAATTTTCTGTGCAAATTAGCATTCAATGTATTGGACGTGGGCTGCGGGGTAAGGGTGGTTTGGTGAGATAGTGATGGGATGGGATGGGATGTTGCATCCTCAGTCCTCACCACTTTGACATTACCAACCAATTAACCTAAATCCTACTCAAATTCTTAATGCCAGATCCCTTCATCTTAAAGAGATGATTTTTATAATCATCAAATCACTAACAATACCTAACTTACTAACATTTGATAAGAGGATATATATATATATATAAATATATTTAACAGCAAATAAAAATGTTTAATTCCTAATTTTATCTTTTATTTTGTTTACATTTCATTTTTTTTTTATTTTATATCTAAAAGTAATCTCACGAGGACTTATTTTTATATATGCTTTTCCTGAACAAGTACTAAATAAATGACTATAACAAGGTTTGTTTGGTTAACTCTAACATATGATATAAACAGATGATTTACTACTCCTACTCTTACAAGAAAGCAAATAGGGATGTGAATGAAGGCTGCCGTACTTTGGCTATAATTAACAAAATTCATTCATTATCGCCTTACTCTATCTCATCTAAATCTGATTATCCTGTGCAGATAATGAAATTGTAATCTGATACATGCTAATCTTCATCTTAGCTAGCTAGCTATTGACTTATCCAAATCATCAGATAATAATTAATTAATAAATCATTTTCAAATTAATAATTTCTCAAAGTATAAATATGGGAGTCTTTCTCCTTTTTTACACTAAAAATAATACATAGCATATATAGTTATGGCTAACAAAGCATTTTCTATTTTTTTTATTTATCATATTATTTTTTCTTTCTCAATTGTTTCTTTTGCTACACCTTTTAATCAAAGTCTTGTTATTGATGGAATACCTAGATATCTTCATGTTTGTGATCCCACTAGATTCCAAATGCTAGGTTTGGACATGGCTAGCTGTGCATTTTGTGACAAATCACTTTCATATGAGGTAAGGGCAAAAGATTTAGTGGATCGATTGACTCTGATTGAAAAAGCCCAACAAATGGGAGATCACAATGGTACTGATATAACAAGGCTAGGGTTACCCAAGTATATGTGGTGGTCCGAGGCACTTCATGGCGTAGCTGATGTCGGTCCAGAAGGTGGAGGTGTCAGTTATTTTGATTCGGTAGTTCCTGGTGCAACGAGTTTTCCAAATGTTATTCTCACTGCGGCCTCTTTTAATCAGACACTTTGGAAAATTCTTGGCAAGGTGAAAATTAAGTTAGATTTAGCAACATTATTCAATTTGATTTTTATAAATTATAAATTCAAGCTTATTATATATGTATGAAGGTTGTCTCAACAGAAGCAAGAGCAATGTATAATCTAGGTCGAGCAGGATTAACATTTTGGAGTCCTAACATCAATATAGTGAGAGATCCTCGATGGGGAAGAGTTTTGGAGACACCAGGAGAAGATCCTTTTGTCGCTGGAACGTATGCAGTTAACTATGTAAGAGGCTTGCAAGATATTGAAGGACAAGAGAAAACAAGTGATCCAAATTCTAGACCTCTCAAAGTTTCTGCATGTTGTAAGCATTTTACTGCTTATGATCTTGAAGATTTTAATGGTATTACTCGACTTGTATTTAATGCCAAGGTACTTACTGCTTATATCTTTCGTTTGTTAATTTTACATTTATATGTTTCACTAAGCTATATGTCTCATCAATGGAGCTTTTATTGCCTTGTGATGTTAAGTATGAGATACGAAATTAAAGAATATCTATTTGTTAATTAGGTGGCTGAACAAGATATGGTGGAGACTTTTAATCTTCCCTTTGAAATGTGTGTTAAAGAAGGCGATGTTAGCAGTGTTATGTGTTCTTTTAATCAAGTCAATGGCATCCCAACTTGTGCCGATCCTTATCTTTTGAAAAAATTAGTTAGAGAAGATTGGAATTTACATGGGTATGTATTGATTCTTTCTGTAATTTTTATAAATATCATGCTTTTATTTTTCATAAAATTAATTAATTTTAATTTCTATACATATGATTTTTTTTAGGTATATTGTAGCAGATTGTGATTCTGTTTTAGAAATGGTGGTAAGACAAAAATGGCTTAATTCCACAGGGGAAGATGCCTCGGCTTATTCACTAAAAGCAGGTTTGTACTCCAATCACTTTTAATATTAGTAAAATTTACAAATTGATATGCTAATTAAAAATTTTAATTAATAAATAGGATTGGATTTGGATTGCGGAGAGTACTACACCAGGTTCCTACCAAATGCAGTGAAGCAAGGAAAAGTTAGAGAGGCTGATATGGACAAGTCGCTCAATTACCTATTTGTTGTACTCATGAGACTTGGTTTTTTTGATGGAATTCCATCTTTGGCATCACTTGGCAAAGCTGATATATGTACTAAAGAAAATACTGAATTAGCAGCTGAAGCAGCTAGACAAGGAATTGTGCTTCTGAAGAATGATAATGAAGCTTTGCCATTAGACCCTGAAAGGTTTAAATCCATAGCATTAATTGGCCCACATGCCAATGCAACTGAGGTCATGATTGGGAATTATGCAGGTTGTTTTTACATCTAACGTTGGTTTTTTTTCTTTTTTAATTTATATATACTTAGTTATTCCAACTAAAGATTTCAATTTGTACGTAGGTGTTCCATGCAAGTACATTTCTCCAATTGAAGGCTTTTCTGCATTTGGACAAGTGACTTACGAAATGGGATGTGTCGACGTTAGATGCCCTAACGATAGCTTGATACACTCAGCCGTCGATGTAGCTAAAAATGCAGAGGCTACTTTACTTTTTGTGGGGTTGAGTTTAGCAATTGAGCGAGAATGGGTTGATCGAAAGGATCTTCTTCTTCCTGGATATCAAACTCATTTAGTCAATGAAGTTGCACAAGCTGCAAAAGGCCCAGTTATTCTTGTTGTGATGGCTGCTGGTGTACTTGATATTTCTTTTGCTAAAGTCAACCCTAAAATCCAATCTATCATATGGGTCGGATATCCTGGTGAACAAGGAGGTCGTGCTATTGCAGATGTAGTTTTTGGAAATTACAATCCTGGTAATTATGAATTTTATTTATTTTTTATTTTTTTAATGTTTTTTTAACTTGATTATTATGAAATCAGGAGGAAGGTTGCCACTTACATGGTACGAAGCTAACTATATTGATAAGTTACCAATGACATCCATGTCTTTGAGGCCAACTGATAAATATCCTGGAAGAACGTACAAGTTCTTCAATGGTTCGACCGTTTATCCTTTTGGTTATGGATTAAGTTATACAAGCTTCAAATACCAGAATAATTCTACAGAAAAGTCTCTCGACATAAAATTGGACAGACTTCAACATTGTCATGGTTTACCTTACAAGGATGGAAACCAAAACCATGATTGTCCTTCAGTTTCAATTAACGATTTATCATGCAAGGAAGAAATTACTTTTGATATCACAGTACAAAATGTGGGAAAAAGGGATGGAAGTGATGTTATTTTAGTCTACACAGTCCCTCCAGAAGGAATCAGTGGAACTCCTATAAAGCAATTGGTTAGATTTGAAAGGGTCTATTTGCATGCCAACGAGAGCAAGAGTGTCAAGTTTGTGCTTAATGTTTGCAAAAGCTTAAACATTGTTAACGTCTCTGGTTATAGGCTTTTGCCATCTGGGTTGCATAAGATTGTGGTAGGGGATATATCAATCCCAATTAAAGTTAATTATAATTGGTAGCTATTTATTTTTTAATTTTATGATTTAGTAGGATTTGATAATTTTCAGATTGGACAAGGCAATTAATTTAAAAACTTGCTTTAGCAAGTTAATTGTTTGAGTGAATAAAAAGATTTTATTAATTTTTATTTTATTTTATTTTATTTATTCTTTTTTGTTATATCTTGTATGACTTGTATACCAGCAAAATTATCTGCCAAACAAAATGTTAAGTCCTCATGAATGTCATCATAAAAAAAGACTTTATATAATTCATTTTTATCAAAGTCATCAATCAATGGGGAAGAACAAGCCTTTTTTAAGAGGAGCATTATCATTTGAATAAAAATGCTTGCTGTTAGTATCATCTGTTGCTCCTGTAATAATTTTCCTTTTTCTCAACAAGCTCATAATGAGGATTAATTAAGGCCTTTGGTTAAAAACTCAAATGAGCTTTTATTATTTCAGGCCAAGTTCCCAATGTCAAGCAATACATTTTTTCCGGAAGAAAGTCAAAATTTCCGATCCTGGGCTCAACTTTACTTGGCTGATGTGTTCCTCTATCATTTGATACGTATATAGGGGAAGTTATATTTATATGTACAAACCCATGGCAACTAGCTGGCTGGCTGGCCTAGGAATGATAGTTATTTTCTAACTTGTCGAAGCTCCCAAATTCTAACAAACCAAAGTCATTTCACTATAAGAAAATAAAAGATTAAAGGTAGTTTTGTAGTGCCGTTTCACTTAAAAACAGTACTAATTTCTATATTTTTATAAAATTTAAAGTGTTTTTTATCAAAAAGCTGCTAAATATTCAAAAAGCTGCTAAATATTCAAAAAGAGACTTTTGTATTTATAAACGCCACTAAAGATAAAAATTAACAATGTTTATCGATTAAAACGTCTTAAATAATCCTCTTTAAAAAATTGAAGTGATTATTGAAAGGATTTTTGACAGAAAACGTTTTGAAATAATCTCCTTATAAAAAATGGATAGGGGATTATTAATTTGTTTTTGACAAACAACGCCTTAAATAATCTCCTTATAAAAAATGAAAGCGATTATTAAAGGTGTTTTGTCAAAAATACCTTCAATAATTCTCCTAAAAAATTAAAGAGGATTATTGAAGGTATTTTTGGTAAAAAATACCTTCAATAAGTCTCATCATCAAAATTTAAGGGGATTATTGAAAAGGTATTTGGCTTGAAACATGTTGAATAATTACCTCTTAAATAATACCATTCAATTCTAAAAGCTAAAGTAGCTTTGTCAGTTAAAGCATATAGTTATTAATAATAAGGTCATAGGCCCAATCCCTTTCTTTAGCGTTTTTCAAGAGATTATTTGTAAATGATTATTCAATACGTTTTTACCCAAAAAACGCCTTTAATACTCTCCCTGAAACAAATTTTTAAAGTTTTTCAAGAGATTATTTGTAAATGATTATTCAATGCATTTCTTGCCAAAACACCTTTAAAACTTCCCCTGAAACAATGGGAGATAATTATTAAAGGTATTTTTGGCTAAAAAATACTTTGAATAATCTCTTACAAAAAATGACTTTAATAATTTATTCAAAAAATTTTGGAAAGAGAATATTAAAGGCGTTTTTGGCTAAAAATACATTTAATAATCCATACAAAAAATTTATTGAGTAGATTATTGAAGGCATTTTTGACAAAAAATGCCTTCAATAATCTCTCATAAAAATTTATTGAGTGGATTATTGAAGGTATTTTCGGTAAAAAACGCCTTCAATAATCCATATAAAAATTTTGAAATTGATTATTGAAGGTATTTTTAGCTAGAAACGCCTTCAATAATACTATTCAACATTTTGTAAGAAATTATTCAAAGTATTTTCTAGCTAAAAACCCCTTCAGTAATCCCATCAAAAAACACTTGGTTTAATTATATATGTGAAGTTAGTTATAAGTTTATGACTAGAAAACATTTGAAGTCAATTGTAGGTTTATACCTAGAAAACATTTGGTTTATATATGTTGTATTACGAATTACATTTTGAAATTTACATTACGAATATTGTAGTATTTTAATAAATTAACCATACATCCGAATTTAAAACTGATAACGTTGCCATATAAATATAATTTTTTCAAATAATCGTACTCAATATATATGTATTCATATAAGCTGCCAATTGATATAAAACAAATATTTACCAATAATATTAAACTAATACCTCAATCTCGAAACATAAATGATCCATTGAACATGGTATGTTAAAAACATTATAACAAATGAAATGGATATATTTGTACCCAACCAATAATCTCCAACCTCAAGGTTTAGCAAACGATAATACATACTTACATCTACTTTACAGACTTCATCAAGTTCGTCTATCATGAAGCTTTCTTTACTCTCTCACTAAAAAAAAAATCAAAAGTAAATGTTAATAAATGAGAACATAATTAGCTTTTTTTTAAAGATATAATGATTTTATGAAATTAATACTAACCTTGAATGGTGTGGTCATAAAATCATATAAAACTATCTCCGTTATAAAACGAATGGCATAATATCCACATTCAGTATATCTTGGTTGATGAAGTACCTAAAAAATAAATTTAGTGGGTTTAGGAAACATTTATCTAAACAAACTCAATACTCAATATAAAAAAATAAATTTCATATTTGCCAATAATAACACCCAATTTATTTTTACTTTCTTATCAAACGTAGATATTACCCTGAATTGAGAAGGAAAAAATTTCTTAATACAAAAATAAAAGTAATTATGAAGAAACATAAGATAATATAACAACATGTAATACTTCTTTATAAAATTTTTAATATCGGGGTTAGGCATCGTCGTTGGTTGAGCGAAATTAAATAAATATGGCATAAAAGAATTGGTATCAATCACAATAAACTGTTAATGATGATTGCAAAATCAGATTAGGTATCATTTTAAATTCGAGTAAGGTTAGAATAATTATACGTATGAATATAACTTACGCAGCATTATACGGGAGCAAATAATAATCAGCCCATTTTTTATGCATTCAATCACATGACGAGCACAAAAAATGACTATGCCATTCTGCTCACTAATGAAATTTGGGTTAACGAATCTGAATCTATAGGTCATTTGTCTCACCTTAACCTCTCTATATAGGAAGTTGCATAATAACAATCAACAATACTAATTAATAATACACCATAATATAGATTAATGCTTATTGACTTTGTATATTTATATTTATAAGCTAATCTCATATAAGCAACAATATCAGCAGCTGATATTTCATCCAAGTTACAAAATTTCTTAAGCTCATCCCCACTAATGTAAAAAATTGATAGTTAATCAAATAACCCATCCTCGGATTTAACTATAATGTAGTTTCCTCTAGATAAATGATCAAGTGAATAATTAAATAACTCATCAATGGCAGCTTGAGCAAAGGTCATACTCTGAGTCCCAACATCCTGTTACAATATATAATGAAATATAAGTATTAAAACCAAATCAATAAGTATAATAAACAAATAAATATTAAATGAATAAACAAAATCATACTTTATGACTAGTACCGGAGGTTGGGTTTCTTGCCTTATTTGCAACAAAAGCTTATCCTAGGTGGATAATGCTATCCAACTGGCCTACAGGAATGCTAGGCTGCACTGATGCCAATATCGCCTCCAAAGCTGCGAGTCATTGTTAATGTTCATTTAGGCGTTGCTCTTTGTCATTAAGTCTTTGCTGTTATTGCTCAATGATTGCTTCATATTGTGCATTCGTCATTTGAGGGTTTTGGGTTGATTACTAAAAAACTTCGATGGCAACACAAATTTATCAACCCCATGAACTTGACAATGTCTTTCTTTCGCTCTTAATGCTAAAGATAAGGAATCTTTGTCATAGTGGGATGCCAGTTCACCAGACTTAACTTTAGTAGTATAATCATTCTGAAAGACAATAATAAGATGGACCGTAACAATAAATCTATATAAGCTAGTATAAAGTCATCATACTAGCACGAAGCCAATCATACGCTATATAATGAGCAGTTATACGTACAATCTTTTTAGCCATTTCTTTGATTGCTTCATCTTAAAATGATCCATTCTTCCGCAGATGTCCTTGTTTTCACACATCCCATCTGAAAACTTCGGTGTCAGAGCTAGCTGATTCCTAATAAATTACCATAATATGAGAATCAGAATGTATTAAGCGAGTTTTTATAAATATTCATTTATGAGTATAAAATAAGTGTACAAATACTTACAAACTCATACTTGATATTTATATAGCCATTTTTTTATGTCTAATGGTGATATACTTGTTTACTTGTTTGGCCTGAATGTTTTTTTATTGTTCTTTAAATTTTTATAAAAGAAAAAATTACATAAATCACATATTAAGATATCAAATATCATAAAATCTTATAAATAATTTTATGTAATGGGTATGCGTACAAAAAAATCTTTTGATAGCTGATCTCAAACAAAAGTCATCCAATTGTCATAACTTATAACATCTACATACGATGTAGATGGAACAACCAATATATCACCTTGATTAGTGAACAATAAAATATATTGGGTCATTAATCTACTCTTAATGTCTCTAAATGCTTTTCTAACTAATTGCAACACAAGCTTTTTACACTCGATTGGAACATCAAACCATTCTTAAAAAATTTAACATAATTAGTATGAATACATTAAAATTCAATTAAATGATCATTTAACAAATTTTATGAAATAGTTGAATAAACATACCATAATCGACCCTCATATACGATCTTTTAGATCATCAAGAACTCATTGCCAAATATAGTACATAATTGAAATACTACTACAGATGATCGTTCCAATATGGATAGCCAACTTGGTAGCTTTATTAGACACAAGTTGTCCATTTTGATTGAAGTCGATGTGAATTTTCGTGTTAGTCACTTCAATTTGTTTATTTCATCCCATTGCTTTTCTTTTTTGGCCTACAAGTGTGTATTCTTCATGTTTAGTAATAGGAAAAGTATGTTATTTGGATTCCATAATACCTACGATTTTGATTATAATTAT